AATTCAGCGGGACAGACATAAATGTAGGCGGCGTTAAGTTAGCCTCTTTTCATGATGGTCAGGTGTTTGTTATTTCAGGACATAGTCTTGTAGTGGAGGCTGCTGTATCAACAGCAGGATTGGATGTGGGCTAATGTGCATCTCGGCCTGCCGGTAAGTCAAGTTTCCACCGCCATGTTTTGGCTACTTCTGAGGTTAAGATGTATTCGCTTCGCATTGCAGGTTGTACGGACCTTAAAGTATGTACTTAGGAGTTTTCGGAATGTACGCGAAGTATCCCAATAAAAATTTAGAGTTAAATCCGATGTTGTAACTACCACTACTTAATGAAATTTCTCAAAATATGGCCTATATTTTAGCAGTCAGATTTAAATAAGTCGGCACATAGACCGAGGAAACTCAGACATGTCGGTGACTAGTTCGGACTATTTGTAGACTCCTTCCTCGCTTTCTATAAGAAATCCAAAGTTGTGTAACCAACACGACAGGATTGATTCACCATATGTTTGATGGCATAAACATTTATGTACAGATATACTATAGAAGATGATCTAAACCTGAAGGGACTCTGAATTGACGCTAGAGACATATTTTCGACTTCCGGATTAAGTACTGCAGCATAGGTATTTCAAGCGTAAGTGTTTGACCATCTAGAACGCAAAACAGATTATTTCTTAAAGACTTAAGGAGAGGATACAAATCTCCATCTTCTCTACGAAGTCAATCAACTCTGGAACAACCGTCAATTCTTATAAAGGAAAACCGTATTTCCCTTAAGTTTAAACAGAAAAGAAATGTCCTTCATTATAAGCTCAGCCAGTTGTTGACCCACTGAAGTTTGAACCTTGTTCTTTGCTTGCTCTACGGTATTTCTAACTTGAGCATTGTCAATTTGTTTTTTAAGCTTGATCACTCAGTGGAATCATGAATTTGTAAAAAGTTGGAGTAACTTTTGTACGGTCTTTTGAAGATTTAAGGTGCCTTCACTACTGTTGAAAGTAGAGTATGAGGGTGATATGGCTGTCCGTTATTGGTGTTACTGTAAGAGTTAAATGGAGGTTAAAGATCAGAGAAAAAACGATTGTTACTTGTATACTAAATAAATTTATAATAGATTTATTGGAAATTTATGTTGTAATTTTAACAGGCACCGAAAAGGTTGGCATTGTTATAATAAAACTAATTATTTAAGCGTTGAAATTGGGATTTTCGACCATAATTTATCGTTATTGCAACCGTTATTTCCAGTTTAAATTTGTTCGATCATAATCAACTAAAAACTAACCTTAGTACCCAAAAGTAATCTTAACCCGCATCCATCGTTTGTATCAAATTGATGCAAATTTCGAAAACATATTAAAATATTAAGAAAAATAGTTCATGTTTTCAACTGTTTTTTTTTGCGATAAATGCGTATAGATCTTTCAAGAATTTTTATTCTTATTATCAGAAAGTGAATAAACTAACGTTGGTAATTAATAAAAAATTTAACAAACCCAAAACATTTCATATCTTTTTCCATATTTATCAAATTGATGCACAACGTAATTTGTGTTATAAAAAATTTCCGATAGATGCGGGTTTCACGGCTTTGAAATTATCAATAATAATGTTCTGAAGGCAGTGTCCACACGATTGGTACATTGGGCGATTGGTACAAAATACGGTTGGTACAATAAAGCGAACTTCTATGGAAAAATTTTAATAAATAATTTTTCGGGATTAGAGTAAAGAAAAATATTTGTGTATTTACACGATTGGGATAAGATGTGCTCCAAACATCGTATAGTTCCATATGTAAAGTTACTCTTCTTCTTACCGTTTTTTCTGTCAGGCTGTAGGTGTGTGCTTGGCAGGCTGTAGGTGTGTTTTTGGTTAGTGTATTGGTGTTTTTGGTTCAGTGTGTTAGTGTATTTTGAATAACCCTGCAGCAATAAGGCGGCCAATTTTCGGTAAAGGACCAGTACTTCACTGGTTAAAATTTGACTGGTCAGAATTAGACATTTGCTTGCATCGAAAATGTCAGCTTGCGACCAGTCCTCAAGGAATCGGTCTAGTGATAGACGAAAAGTACAGTTTGGCAGTGACAGGGTGGTGTTGTCTTGCAATTCAATAAACAACAGGCAACATGGTTATAAAATGAAGTTTTGTTTTGTTTCCGAAATATGAAAAAGCATCTGTGAAATGCAGAACGCAATCCTGTTCCAACGAAAAAAAACTCTCCAAAATTGGAATCGTCCAGGACTATCTTACGGTCAGTGTTGATTGGACCGGTCCTTTTCCAATGACACGCCAATGCTAAAAATGGCAGTTTAAACCATTGGCAGGGGAATTATGAGGGTCTAGTGCTGGTAACAATAGGGACTATCTGAGGGCTAACCTAGGGTGAGTCTGAATTGCTGCAGGGAAATTCCCTGCAAAAAATGCGACTAACCCGGGATGACTGCGGGAGCAATCGCAAAGGAACATGCGACTACCCTGCAAAAATCGTTGGACCATGTAGTCTATTTGTGGTAAATTGGAGTACTTACAAAAGTGTGCCTCTGTCATGCTGTAGCGGACCAACTCGTGTCTCTGCGCCAGCTTATTGTTTGTTATCCGATCACTGCTCGTGTTTTAACGAAATATGATTGAAGTTGAGCATTTGAAAGCACATGTGCATGTCTGATTGTAGCTGAACGTGTAGAGATGCTCGCTGTTAGTTCTTAGCCCCCAACATGTTTGGGTTCGAATGCCGTCAGAGGAACATGTAATTTTTAATTTTTGTCTTGGTTTTTATTAATTTCGAAAAAGCATTTGAGAAGTGAAGAACAAAAGCGTGTACAAACGAAAAAATATAACAACAATGTCATTGTTAATATGTTGAAGTAGTTTTGTGATACTCTGATGTAATGCAGGGATGGAGTATATGGTCCTGCCCTAGGACATCGCAATGTTAATTGGACCATATTTTTTTATATGAATTGTGGTTAATTTTGGAGTACTCCTTGGTCCTTAGGGAGTACTCTTTTCACGCATGCATGGAGTAGTCGCGATTTTTGCAGGGTAATACCACTTTTGATCTCTTTATATGGAATGAACTGTTCGCTTTTGTTGGAGCATGTGCTATGAAGAGACTAATTGTTCCCCTTTATACCCGAATGGGTAAAAAAGCGACGTCATTTTAAAAAATAAAAATAAAAATTTGCGCCAGCTGCGATTCGAACCGGAGCTCACAGTTTTGTCAAGTGAATACTCCCTCTCTGTGCCAATGCCGCACACAATTATTAAATCGTTAATAGTACCCTTTAGAAATGAGTCGGGGACTAATTGATCTCCTATTATACCCGTAAGGGATGAGTCGAAACTAATTGATCCACAATAATACCCGTATGGGAATAGTTGCGACTAAATAATGCCCAATTATACCCGATTGAAAGTAATCTCGGAATACTATCTTTAGATATTAGTCTCACAATTTTTTGCAGGGTTTGCAGGTGATCTCTGCTGTAGGCATTTTTTGGAAATCAGCTGATAGTGTTTTTACTTATGAAACTGTACGATGGCTCCAAATTTTGGCCAAACGCCCAATCGTGTTACACTGCCTTAAGTAAATTCTTTTTTTTTTTTTTTGTTATTTTGTACCAGAACCTTTTTTTATTTCTTTTTTTCTCTTTCAAATTTAACTTTTTTTTTAAATTAAGATTGAAAACACATCGTCGGGTTGAAACTTACAGCGAATGCAATTTAACCAATTTTAAAAGAGAGTCAAGGAAAAGATAAAGTGTAACATTTTTTTACAAAACCTCTTGGTTTTTTCAAATAAGCATTATGGCAAATTACAAACGCGAGCACACCCACGCACATTGCGGTTTAGCGGTAGTTAATAGTAAATTTGACAATTCAGTTTCTAAAAAAATTTTCGAAACATTCGCTATTTTAGAGGCTTTTCCCTAGTTTAAGTGAATAACTTAAATGAATTCGATTAACATTTTTCGCAGTAAACTCATTTCATCTAGTAGAATGCCGTAACTTAATGCAGTCTCAACTCTGCTCAAGAAATTTTTTTTTTTTTCAAAATGGGGGAATTTATTTAAAAAGATATAAAACAAAAAGTGTGCATCACTCACACGCGAACGCCTAACAGCGGTACCACCGCCAACAACAACAAACACTCAAATGAGAAAACCTACCTACACCACTTTTGGCAGCAGCAATAAATTCCAAATTCGATGGCTTAGCAAGATAAAAGCAAAAATAGTTCAATGCAAATGCGTAAGCGTGTGCCAAAGTGTTAACATTATTTTAGCCCGCAGATTTAAAAATAATCGAAAGCCGCACATCTTTAACGTTCTCACACTGCATTTTGCATTACAGTAGCTGGCACAATATTTACCAATGGAAATTTTTCTTTTGATTTACTTAGTAAAATGCACTTAAAGTAGACTGAAACTTAAAACGTGTAATTTTGGTTATCCACTGCATTTAGCGATAAGACGCCTACTGATAGAACGTTGCTACTCACGGTATGGATAGTGGAAAAAAATACATTAGAGCATTATATACAAAGTATGGATGTAAATACATACATATATAGATATGTGTGCCTGTATAAGAAGCTAGAGATTTTTAACTTTGAAAAGAGGGCCAGTGATTTTAGCAAGCGGAAGCACTTAGCGATACTTTATCGCCCGAATTTTTTTTTATATAATAGTCTTGCAGCACTCCTTATCATTAAGTGGGTGTGAGGTGCAAAAAACGAAGTACCTACCTTTTAGGCCCTTTACTTGCTTATCTTTGAATTTTTTACATATGCATGTTTTTAAAGGCAAACATTCAGTAGGTTTAATTAACCCAGAAGTTGGGAAGTAAAAATCGCTTTTAGCAAAACTAATATCTAACATTTTTAATAAGCACGCCTATAATTAACGTGCACCCAACTTTCCAACAAATGACTATTATTGTATTTTTCCGTTAATTTTGATGTGAATATTTTCAAAATTACATTTTGCACTACTCACCTTTTTCATGATGCCAGTTTTGCGTTTTGAAAATGTCGTATATCTACGCAATTTATTATCTATATATTCCATTTTGATTTTGACTCGCCCTTTTGTTTTCTTGCCATTGGCAGGAGGTGATTTTTTATTTTGCAACGCTGTGTAGCTGTCGTCCACCACATCGGGCACATTGCCACTCACTTGACTCTGCTGTTGCTGTTGTTGTTGTTGTTGCTGTTGCTGTTGCTGCTGTGCACTTTGTTGCCCACTGCCTCCAACACAATCAAGTCCTTGTAACGCTTGTGATGACATACCCGCAGCACTACTACTACGATGATGATCTTCATAGCAATCAGAGCCAGCCCGTTTGATACCACGCTGATGGCTCGTATTACCGCCCGCACTATTGGATGTGCCAGTAACCAAGGATTGACACTGTGAGCTGTTGGGCATGAGGCCACTCGAACGGGAACTGAATCCTATGCCAGCGCCACCGCCCATCGGCTGTATGAGTCCGCCCGATGGTGGTCGACCGCCGAGCGCACTAACAGCCGCTGGATTACCACCATAGATATCGGCCTGATCGGCCAAACTCAGGCCGATGCCGCTCATGGGGTAATTGAGGTTATAGCGCGAGTCACCTCGCGTAGGATCCATTCTAAGGTAGAAGTTCTCCACCGTGACGATTTTATGTTTTCACCTTTTTTAAATAACACACACGGAAGCAACTGCTGTTGTATAGCCGTTGCTGTTGTATACGCCGTTTCGGTGCTGCTGTATCGCAGTAATTATTAGCGAATCAGGAACGCTTGCGATGGCTACGGCGGTCAATATCACACGGCACGGCACGGCACTGCAAATCACCACTTCAATACCACTTTCTTTCGTATCAACACTAAATTTGATCAGATCGCATGAGCAGTAAACACAGGGAATGTTGCTCTTGTCGGTGGCTGCCTATTGAGGCCTGTGCAAAACAGCAAACACTTGAATTCCAAAAATAAACACAAATACGCACTTTTGACACTTTTTGAGGGAATCTCGGATCGTATAGAATCGAATCGGATAACACCAAAAGAAGCAGGCGGACGAGACAGCTGCACGCAAATGTCAAATTAACGCATGTGGCTCGCCGAACTGCCTGCACATTTGATGACTGCCTCAGGAGGAATTCACACACACATACACACTGCCAACGTGCACGTCGCGTAGATATGCGATTCCTATTTTTAATTTCAAAAACTTTTATTTAAATTAACACAAATTCCAAACGACCGTGTAAAATTTGGCAATCCGGACTATTATTTTCTTCGATTCCTTTTAGGTGCCAAAACAGCTGTTCGTTTTTGACAATGCAGCGGAAGTACAGGGTGTACTAGAGTCAGTGGTGTCTAATGCATTTTCAGTGTTGCAAAGTGCTCGTGTGCCATACGTAGAAAATTTATGCAATTATAACAAAAAAATGCCACAATTTATTATGCCGGTTCAGTGGAAATTTTGTGTGCAAATGCATTTATTTTTATTTATTTTTTTAATATCCTCCAAAAATGTTGATAATGATTCCACAAGCTGTGCTGCCGCCACTGCTAACTGCTGCTGCTACTATAACTGCAAAACCAAACGCCGCCAAACAACTGATAAGGAGTGTTTCCTATTTTGTACGCTCACTCGTTGGCAAAAAATACGTAAATTGCGGAACTATCGCTTGTAACAGACAAATATGAATTGATCTAAGCGTTTATGTCGTTATTGCGACCACCTTGATGTTCTCTAGATGGAGGCGCGCTACCGAATAAACTCGCTTTCGATCGCGCCACATAGCACGACCGTTTTTTTATTTTTCTTTGCTGCGTTACGCCAAAATGGAGAGCTGCTCCAGCGCATGTACTATTCTAGTTTGGAGCACTAACGAACCAGCCGGAGCGCCGCCAAGAAAGCCAGCTATGCTACACGATTGCTTCAGAGTGCTTGCTTGCTCTTGGATTGGAGAGCCCAAATGTGTAGACTTTTTGCACTCTTTCAAGTCGGCCAGCTGAGTTTTCATTCGCTGATCAAGCTGTTTGCCTGGCTCTCTGACTAGCCGATAAGTCGAACTTCATTCATAGCATTGTTTTTGTTTTCGTGCATTTTTTGTACTTTGCTTTTTTGGTATTGGTTTCTCTTTAGGCATTCACGAATATTCAAAATGTTCAAACCAGACTTTAATTAACTATTACTGCCAATGAAGGCCTTATCTTTTACAATACACGAATACGTACTCATACCCACACACGCGTATGAGTACGTCGGCAGTTAGTTGAGCGAGTGAGTGTCTATGGCGTGCGCGCGCGCCCGTTTTTGATTTGAATTGTTTATTTATAGTAGAACATGTACGTATGTTTGTTTGTTGTACATATGTATGTATGTAAAAGTAAGTAATCATAACTTCGGCTCAGACTTTTACGGTGCTATTGGTTGGTCAATAGCAACAAACTCCTCCCATTGTAGGAATGCCGTGCCGCCGACATTGTTTTGTGTACTATTTGGTATTATTATGAGTGATCGCTTGGAGACAAGTGTCTGAGCAATGCGCTCCATATGCAAATGAATGCCAGCAATTTTTCATATTTACACTTTAAGAAAAGGAAATTATTACCGTAATTTAAGCATTTTAACTCGTTTAATAAATGTTTTAATGCCTTGCTTGTGATTGATTGGGCTCTTGTGCGGTGGCGAGCATATGTTTGCACAAATATGAGTATGTTCAGGAAAAACTTGTTAAGCGAAAATTTTCCTTATTTTATTGTATATATATCTTATTCTAGTTACAGAACACGTAAGACCTTTTCAGCGTTTTTGTAGGTGTTCAAACGTGTGGAATTCATCTAAAAGGAACTGTTGCCACAACAATGCGTAAAATGTCGATCATAGCCAAATTAAAAACGCACCTGCAATTAGATATGGCAAACAGCACACGTGATTGTATAGATATACTGGCAATAAGCGAGTTAATGCAATAAAATATACGATATATACATACATTAAAGATAAACGCACAGACAAACAGTGACTGACAGAAATGATCGCAAAAAGGATAATATAATGGAATTTACCTTTATGCCTTGCAACGGAATGATAATATTGCATACCCAACAATTTTTATGTAATTGGGAAAGTTTGTCGAATTTTTATAATTCTTTTACAAGATCTGAAATGTGGATTTATATGGCGATAGTTAAATAATGCCATCGACGTTTATAAACAGTAAATAAAATAAAATAAAAAAACGAAAAATAGCCAAAACTTTTCAAAATGTCACTGAACTTAATCAGCTGGCTATAAGTGTATATATGGACTTGATCCTAAAAATAAATTTCGCCAAGAATTTTCTCAAAGTAAATTCACAACAGCGCCGTATTTTTCATGATTCGGCTTTGGTCAACCGTGAGGCCATTTTTCAATCCGACGAAGCGTGACGACAGAGTCGAAATATCTTTTGGCGACCACGCCTCGTCGGATCCGAAGCGATGTGCGAGCTATTTTAGCCGACAGTTCACACGGCATCCTCCGGCGGACAAAGCCAAGCGCCGAGTGACTAGAAGACTGCACAAACTGCGCCTCTTGCTTTCACCAGAGTTGAAATGAGAGTAGCCATCGCGAAGGCGAAGCCTGCAAAGTCATTGGACCCGACGGAATTTGCATGCTGATGCTGAAAAATTTGGATCCTGTGGGATCAACCAAGGTCCTCAACCTGTCTATGGCCACTCTCATCATTCCAGACATCTGGAAAATGGGAATAGTGGTCCCTTGCTTAAACCAGGGAAACCGTCCAACAAAGGAGAGTCCTATCGTCTGATAACTCTCCTTTCCCCGGTAGCGAAGACACTACCCTTCTATTCTCGCACTTAACATACCACCTGACCCCAGCGAGGCATCAGCATGGGTTCCGTAAATTACACAGCACAACAACAGCCCTTAATTCCATACACACTTAAATACATAACTCGTGCCCTTAACCGAACCCAATCCTGTGAGAGAACAGTTCTAGTAGCATTGGACCTGTCAAATGCGTTAAACGGTGGTCGGCGAGTTATCTGAGTGGTGGACACTCGTCAGTAATTTTCGGCATTTTTTTCGGTAATTTTTTCGCAAGCCCAGAAGAATAAAAAATACGATCCCACAGGGTGGTGTCCTTTCCCAACTACTGTTCGACTTTTATATTTCTAAGCTCCCTGAACCACCAGAGGGAGTCTCGATTGTCTCTTATGCTGACGATTGCTCGACGCTTCCTCACTGCAAGGAGATTAACCCCCTCCCCTGCTAAATCCTTAGAAACCCTTTTCACCACCTGGACGAAGGAGATCAGACCTCAGCTGAGTATTCACGTCGATTACGAACTAATCCCGAGGGTGAATAACCCGTAAATACTCGGAGTAACCTTCTACAGTATGCTCTCCTTCTCGGCACATACAACCGCAATTGTCAACAAAGTATAAAGCCGCAACAAGGATCTCAAGTCGCTAGCCTGCCGCACCTGGAATAAAGGCATAGAAACGTTGCTGGCAACCTGCAAGCAAATTGACCCTCGTCACGGCACATCAAAGTGCATCTATGAATACGAACTGATGGACGTAGCCTAGAGGTTCATAAAGCAGCCTTTAGACCCGACAGCATACCGACAGGTCTTGAACGGAAATCCCAGGGAGTGAGTCTAGAGTTATATACTCTCGACCTATGAATGCCGTTCTGGGCACACAACCAAAAGAGGTGGACGAGACAGAGCTTCGTCTGCCTCGGGAGGCTCGAACCACAATAGCCCAACTTCGCTCTCACTACTGCAGCAGGTTTAACTTGTACCTGAGCAGAGGAAACGCAGATGTGCCGAACGAGTGCCCAGCATGCAGAGGGGCGTCCCATGACTCGCGACATCTCTTCGCATGCACACTGAACGCAACTCTACTAACGCCTCTGCCCTTATGGACAGGTCCTATCGAAGATGCACGCTTTTTGGGTCTCCCGTTGGTCGAGATTCACGAAAATGATCAAGGGACTAACCGATCTGGGCGGGGTTGTTGTAGCCGCTACAACAAGAAGGGACGAGTTGCTGATATTGGCGAGGAATAAAATGATGGCTTGAGGTAATGATGAGGAAATAAATTTGTATCAACCGCTCAAACTGTTCGAGGTAAAGTGCCATGGCCATTCCAGCCAAATCTAAACACTTGGAGTTACTGTTTCATATACATATGTATGTTAGTATGTATACGTTATGGTATGCACTATGTCCGAGTACTTACACATACATATATACTACGTACATATGTAACTGCGTTTTTTCTATTTTAAAGAAGTTTTGACAAATCCCACTGGAACATTCCATACCGGATTTTTCTCAGAATCTTCATTTTTTTTGCACACATTTTCCACTACTGCTTAGTTTTTATTTGTAAGAGTATGTACGTACTATGTACGATTATGTATGTATGTATGTATGTGCATATGTCCGTTTGTTTGCCAGTCGAGTGGAGTTTAGTGAGACATACTCGCTGCTGCAGCGTAAATGGCCAGAAATGGTAAAAACATTCGACAGCATTACAACCTCTGGAGGATTTGCGTAATGTATCATTATACACGTACGAGTACGAGTACGTCACCAATATGCGACGAGGAGCTCGTCGACAAACACACGCGCCACACTCGATCCGAGGCTGCTATGGACTTTTCATGCCACCAAGTGCAACGCGCAAATATTCGTCCTCAAACAGTCGGACTGACGACAGTGGCGATGACGATGACGACGACGACGACAACGACATTCAAGTGGAAGTTGACGTTGGCAAGATGATGAAGAAACAACAGCAGCAGCAACACATCAGTAATAACAAACATACTAGTCGATATTAAAGTCAAAAATCACCGT